CAGCCATGCTGGCTGGAGAATTCTGGGAGTTGAAGTCCACACGTCTTAAAGTTGCTGAGGTTGAGAAACCCTGCTCTAACAACATACAGAGCCTAGAGCTTTTTCTGGGGTGATACCCCGTTCATGGAGTTCTCTCCCCCAGAGAGGCTCGACTGGCATGCATGTTAGCATTATTCAGCATCAGGTGAAGACTCTTCTATTTTCCCATGATTTTTAATTGGCTCTTAATTGTAATTTGTATTGTTTTAAGTTTTTGCGTGACTGCCTAGCTGCTGCCTAGTTTATATGGTGATTTCAGTTGGAAATGCTAAGCCTAGGATGATAAGTGGGAAAGTTAACTGTATTTATTTTTGATTGTTTAATCAATTTCTAAGGCTGCCCACTTGCCAAGACTTCTGCCAGAGGATTAAAAAAGATCAGTAGAGGCAATAGCAACAAAAGATAACCACATCAGGAAATAAAAACAATGAAATATGCAACAATTAAACAGTTATGCAGCAATCTCTCAGCGATTAATGTCCCAGCCCAGAACCTGTGAGAGCTTTATGAAGGTTTAAGTGTCCTCCTCAAAGACAACAGGATTGGGGCCATATAGAATTTTTTTTGGATTTGGAACCATATAGATTGGGGTGGGGGAGATACTCTTCCAAAGGACAGGCATGCCTAAGCCTTGAACAGGATTGTCGTCTTTTTTTTGTTTTCCCCCTTTGGTCTACTCTTCCTTTGAGGTGGTTGTCTTAATTGTTTTGTTGTTATCTTCCTTATGTATGATCCTTGAAGATTAGAGCCTGGGCAGTGTAAGCATTCTTTGCATTACAAAATTCATTCTGAATTTTTTTAAAATAAGAGATCAACAATTTGCACCTTTCTAAGCCTGTGTGAGACCTGGACTATATTGAAATCCATGCTTTTCTGAATTTTGTAAAGCAGATGGAGAATCAAAAAAGTTGGAAGGGGACATTTATACCATTAAGTCCAAACAAACCCCTTGCACAGTGGAGGGATTCAGATCAAAGCATCCCCAATAGATGGGTGTCTAGCTGCTGCTTTTAGAACACCTCCAGGGAGAGGGAGCCCCCCCCCTTCTGGATACAGTTCAGCTAAATTTCCAAATTGGGATAATTTTTAAATCAAAGCATATTATGCAAAAATATATTGTACTTGATTAAAATCATTTGCAGCATTTGTGCCTTAGAGGAAAATAGATACAAAATATATGTCTTAGAAGAAGCGTGTCTTAATTTTTGTGCCAGCTTTCCTTTTTTTTTTTTTTTTGTACAATTAGTAAACTGCAGCAGCAATGGGCCTAAATAAGTAAATAATCTAGGAATGTAATCTAAGCAAAGCCAGTGTATTTGTTCATCTCTAAAACATTAGTGTGTTTTATAATTAATGCTGTCCAAAATCACTTATAGAGTGATATATTCAGCATTAATATTCAGTTGATGCTGTTCCAGAAGGCATAATTGGAAAGCCATGTATTTAAGTATTTAGTCTCTAATTGTTGTTTTCATCTTTTATTTTTCTTAAAGCTATAAAGTTTGACATGACGTTGGAAAAGAAGATTGGCTTAAGTGTTACAGGATTCTTAATATCAATTTTTGCTTTGACTGGTACCATTCTTTTTGCCCAAGGTAAGAGTTGTAATAAATAAAACATTTTCCATCAAGCTGAAGTGGGCCTTAAGCTATGTACAGCAGGACTGAATTTGATAATAGCCAGTATATGACTGATGAATAGCTTTTACCTAAAAAAGGCAAGTTATATAATTAATGTATGAGGAAGGATATAATATGTCATTAAGTGAATTAAGGATATTATTCCTGTACCTGATCAAATTACTACCTCTATTTCTACTAATATTACTGTCCTATTATAATAGGCCCAACTTATCTTTTGGATTCAGAATCTTGGTATATATTATTCCTGCTATATATTAAATATTTATTTATTAGAAACATCATACAAAACCTAGATATCTCTTTGCAGTGATATTCATGAAGTAATTGGGCATGGGTTCCCTCACACTGTCCTTGATGCATTTCTTTTTATTGTACAAAACATACATTATTTATGGCTGGTGTGGGTCTTCCGGGCTGTGGGGGCGTGTTCTTTAAGTTTTTTTTTCTTACTTTTTTCCCGC